GTTACACAAATCAGATTTTAATTCCAAGTAGTATATGATTAAAACACTATTTAATTTTATTTAACAATTGGATTAATCCAAGCCAAAAGAGATTAATATATGGGATTGATGTTCAATAATTTGAACTGTACATTAAAAATGTAACATGCCCTTATAAATTTATTAAAATATTTTCAAAAAATTACATAAAAATAATTTTATTAATTATATTTTAACATATTCATTGAGTGTATTGTACTTTTAATATACAGTATACCCTATTAATACCTCTTCCTTATATATTTTAGAAGGTTATATAAGTTTAAAAATATTATACTTATAATATCACATAATATTATAATTTATAATATAATATATTATTATATAATTAATTTTTTATTTAGAATATATATATGATATTGGTTAAACTGAGGCAAATGTATATATGTATATATAAATCTTATGTTACATAAATTATATAATTTTTTTATTTTGGTTGGATAACGAGGCACAATCATTTCTTTATCTTTTTATCTCATCTCTTCGATATCATCCGAATGTGATGTGACTTAAATTTAACATTTATAACTTTCTGATATAATTATTGAATTATTTAAAAGGTTAACCACAAATTAGATTTTAATTCAAAGTAGATGATTAAAACACTATTTAATTTTATTTAAAAATTGGATTTATCCAAGCCAGAAGAGATTATCTTTTGGAAGATCATACAAGGTACTGAAATTGTTTATAAGTCATAAGGCGAGCAAACTTCCCGAACTTTGGCGCTTCCTTCACGCAACTCCAATTCTACTGAAAATTGAAATCATTCAGCGGCCAACTCACTCGTCGCGATGATTGCTAGGTCCTCGTCTCGCCGGAGATCCCCTGATAACGACAGCTTTCCGCTACAGATGTTTCCGCCAGAGAGACACACGGGCCTCGTTCGTCGGCAGGGCGGACTAATTTCGGTCCCGAAGGCGCTCGCATCGTTGCCTTCGCTGGTGCCGGTGAATGACGGGACTGATCAAAAGATGACAAAATTGCTTCTGAAAGTCAACATAGAGAGGAGCTTGGGGCCAGTGCACGTTGTGCTGTCAGCGGAGAAAACAGTGAGTGATTTGATAAAAGCGGCGACCGAGATCTACGTGACGGAGAAGCGGCGGCCGTTGTTAACGGAATCAGATCGAAGGACTTTTGAGCTTCACTATTCTCAGTTCAGTTTGGAGAGTACGTTTTCTTATTTCTCTCTGTTGATTATCACAGCTTCGTTTCTGCTTTCTCGATTTTGAAAAATTCCTGCTATTAAAATTCGAATCTTAAATTGTAATATTTAGTTTATAACCAGGTTAAATATTTATTAAATATTTTTTTAAGAATAGTGCTTATTAATATTACTTTCTAAAAATTAAGATAAAAATTATTATAAAATTAAGTTATTTTAATAAATTTTTATTAAAAAAATTATTATCCTGCTACTAAATTAACAAAATTAAGTTTCTTTTAATTAATTTAAATATAAAATTATTGATAGTTTTATTAATTGTTTAATGAAAAATAGAAGTGGATGTTTATAGCATTTTTTTTTTTTTTTTGGTAGTTATGACCATAA